CTCAGTGTCCTTTCTAAGGTCATGGGAACTCCCTAGATCTCTGTGCAAGGAGATCCAATCAGTATAAAGGAGTAATGACCCCTGGACCAATGGGTCCAGGCTATGGGACAAATGCTCCAGCCTCCAGGTCTTTAAGTGGACAATTCTGGGAAGCACTGTCTTCTCTAAGTAGGTGCTGGTCCTGAAATGAAGCCCCCAAGTGTCCACAATGGCAATCCCAGTAATATATCCTTGAACTGGATTTTTTTCCCTCATTCCTACTTCCTGGGGTTACTTCATAAATGAACTACTTTCACCAGTTGTTTGTCTCAGGGTCGGCTTTGGGTATGGGGAGAGACTTAGGATGGGATTTCTGGAACTAGATCAATTCCCATTATTGTTAGGACAAACAGGATGTGATTACCTTTGGTGTGTATTGTAACTCCCATGAATCTCACCTTTGGTGGATGGGGATGGGAAGCAATGGATTATGTGGTAGCTCTGTCACTAGAATGGTATGGGAGCAAAGGATTATGGCATTCACCAGAATTTGCTAACTGCCTGAATATCTTCAAAAAATAATGTGTCAGGCACAGATCAGCTATCAACTTTGAGCACGCTGCAAAGTCAGAAGGTCTCCTTGGCAGGTGTTTATCTTCTCAGCTACAGGGAAAATGTGCTTAAAATCAGATCCGGAGTGTAAATTTAAGAATGGTGGGTTGGCAAGGAGATAAAAGGTGCAAAATAAGTCTCTTTTGCTGAAATCAGGGCCTTGACAGCAAAGGAGTAGACTTCTGAAACCTGCCTCAATGCTAGGCAAAGCAACTCCTTTATCCACAATAAAAGAGGGCAGCTTTGGCTTTCCTGAAGACCATGCAGTATTCACCTGAGATGGATGCCTTGTAAGAGACTCTTTGCTTCTAAGATATAACTCTGCCTCCTCCTATACTTTAAGATTATTAACTAATGTCAAGTTTCAGCTGAGAGGGAAAATATAGTCCTTGAGCTGGGAATAAATAGTTAAAGTATTTCAGGAACTGGATAGTAAGTACTGAAACAAAGCTGGATAACATGTGTGAGAATAGATATTGAGTTTGCTGGATCAGAGAGATAGCATATAAGGCTGGATATTTATTGACATGGGAGTACTCTCTTGTGACTCAAAAAGGAGGAGGAAGAGGAAGGAGGAGGAGGAGAAGAAGGACAGAGGAGGAGGAGGAGGAGTAGAAGAAAAGATTTAATATCATGGCAAGAACACATGACTTGGTGTTAATAGGCTGTTGGGAAGACTTTTGGAACTGGTAGTGATGATGGCTTACAATAAACAAATTCCAGAGATGATGGAATTGCCTTGGCAATCATTGCGGCCTAAGAGGTAAGAGTCTCAGAGAGGTAGATACAGTAGGATGGATTTATTTAATATGTCAAAGGAACCAACCTACTATTTTTCCAGAAAGGGTTCAAAGCACACTCTCTTTACAAAGATAATAAGGATGTACTAATGAGGATTCTGTAACGGCAGAAGGTAGTGGCATTTCATTAGCAGCAGCAAAGTGGCTTCAAGGCTGAAGTGAATGCCATCTATGCCAGGACAATTATGTCCAATAAACACCCACCAATCTTCCTTCCAAAGGACTTTAAAGCACATAGCAAATAAACTGTTCTACGGACATACAAAATAATCCTTTCAGAGTTTGTTGTATATGGGGCTGAGTTGACTTGATATCAAGTGATCTAACATGTCACCATTGTTTCGCAATTTGAGTGGGGACTTATGGAGGCCATGTAATAAACAGAGTGCTGGCTCTAGTTCATTTCACAGTGATTTTGACTGGTTCAGAGGAGACACTCATGGGATAAATACTCTTTTAGCTTCATTTTGGCTCCTTTATCTGTGGAATAAAATCCATTATGGTAGGGAGTATCTAGTAGAAATCCTAAAATTACACCTCCCTATCCTAACCATGATAGTAAATCAGACTACTTTCAAAGACTTAAATGAGAAAAAGGTAGTTCCCTGTACATTCACCTGTGTGGCCCATGCTAAAACCACAAGGACCATGATGGAAGATAAGGAACTATCATAAACTAAACCTGATGATAGTGCCACATCATAGCTGCCATGCCAGATATGGTATTTTTCCCGGAATATATCAACACAGCCTGTTTGTGGCTATTGATCTGGCAAACTTTTTCAAGCACTGAGAACATTAAAAATGTTTGTATTTATATGAAAAGGATACCTTTTCATCTGATTGTTGCAGGATTATTAGCCGTCTTCTTCATTCCTTTCTGTGAAATCTGCAGGAATATTGTTCACCTGATAGTCAATAAAACCTTTGTTCGGCAATCTGTATTGATGACATCAGATCTGGTGAACAGGAAGTAGAGAGGACACCTGGTATCCTATAAGCCACACACAAACCAGAGGATGGGAGATTTGGATTCCTTATAGAATTTAGGGATGCAATGGTCTGTAGGATGCTAGGAAATCCTTTCCAAGTTAAAGGATAAGCAATTAAACTTGTACCTTCTACCAGTAAGAAAGGGGCAGATAATAAGGGACTTTTTTTTTTTTGAAAGCATCATCTACTTAGTAATACTGCTATTACCCACTTATGGGATGACGTGAAGGGGTGCAAGTTTCAAGTGGGGCCCAGAAGAAGAAAGGTTATACTTCAGGATCAGTCTCTGATACAAGATGCAGATATATGATTCAGGCTAGTCATTGTTACTGGAGATATCTATGGTAGGTATGAACACTGCATAGCATCTCTGGCAAGCCTCAACGAAACTATCACAGGCTCTTTGGTTCCAGAGCAAAGGTCACACCTTCTTATTTGAAAAGCAATCTGGCATGCCTGGGTGTCCAGTAGAAATTGAGAATCTGGCTATATATGAGATCAAGTGATTAGCTATAGCTTCCCATAATAATCAGGATGTTATCAGATACACAAATTAGAAGGTCAGACAGTCACAGTAGCAATCTGTCATTGGATAGAAATGATACATTTGGGATCAAGCTTGAGCAAGCCCAGAAGGCAGATGTAATTATATGGATAAGTGGCCTATCATTTATCTATCTCTCTTGCACTAATGTTTCTTCTAAGACCTACTCCTGGGCTGGCAGAGTAGCTCAAGTGGCAGAACACCCGCCTAGCAAGTGTGAGGCAGTTCAAGCCCCATTACAGCTAAATTAGAAAAATAAAATAAAACCTACTATGACCTCATGGGAATTCCCTATGGTCAACTGTATCATTTCCTACAGTTATGTATTGCTATAATAATTCTGTATAATAAACAATCAAGAAATGTTTATGGCAGTCAACAATGGGCTCTTATTTCTCACATATGTAGGACCCTGCCTTAGATAAAGGCCAATTTGGCAATAAATGAAGAACAATAGGTGCATGTACTGGTTCCCCTAACCCATATGCAGCATTATGCAAAAGAAATCATAGAATAATGAAATGTCCTATTACAATATCAGATTAGGCATCTGCAGGGATGAGGGGCTCTTCTCCAGGATGTAGTATATGCTGTATTCCAATTCATACAATGTTGTGTGAACAGCAAACAGACCATTGTGATAATCATAGCCTAAAAAAGGCAAAGTAACCAAGCAAAATAGATCCTACAATGAGTGGTGGAGAGAGTTGATAAATATCAGTTTGAGCTTTGGGTTCAGTTGCAAGAACAAGAATGACAGCTTGTCTCACTCATCTTTCTGTGTATTCACTCAGAAAAGATGATTGGTGGCTATCATCCTGCAGTCTTGATGACAGAGTAGGCTTCACACAGAACTCAAGCAGGTCTGAACAGTTCAAGGGTACCCAGCTGCAAACACCTCTTTTGCCCTGAATCACATCCACTTTTCTGCTTCTGTTATCAGCCATAGCTACACTAGATACTTCTAAGTGAGCTCAGATTTGTCCTTTTTGTTAGTGAAACCCCACTGCAAGCATGAGTGTTCCCTCTTGGTCTGCCTGCTGCTCTAACTCCTTCTTTATCTAAGGAGCTTGCTTTCCCACAGAAAAGCACAGCCCAGAAGTGTGGGGTAATGTCCTGGATGCAACGCTCAACTAGTGAGGAATGGAAACTGTTTAATGAATGATCTCAGTTCTATCTACTAAGTGGACAAGTTTGTAAGCTTCTCATGACATCTTGTGATACTCACACAACCTTGAAAATACACCTTCATGTGGGTTTTTTCCCTCTTGCTCTCTCAATTCTGCTTCCTGGGATCACCTCACAAATGACCTACATATACTCAAGTCCTTTTCTCAGGCTCTATTTGGTGACCAAAATTAAGAAGAGCATATTAATGAAATGCACTTATCCATCTTTTCACCTAAATATTTTAGTGGTTTTCTAGATTGCATGTAAGTATCTTTGAAGAATTATTTGCAAGGTGAGTTGAGAACAACATTCTAACTGTGCAGATTAGGTTTTTGTTTAGGCAAATGATGACAATAATGCTTGCTCACTCTAAACCACATTGTAACTACCTTCAATATTTCTATTTGACAATAAACATAATAAAACATGACTTTGATAATATATGAACCACTGACCAAGTGGCAAAAAGTTATATATGCCAATAAATACTATCAATAAATTCCATATCCATAATAGTTATAAGTTGCCACAGAAAATTTCAATATAGTATTCTACCAGAAATGTCTTCAATAATTTTTATACCAATGTACATAACACTTCTCATGATAAAATAGTCACAAGTGAATAACTCATGTAGCCAAATTCACTTATTTTTGCATTGAGTCTATTTCTGATCACTAAACTCACATAAACTTCATTTGGGGGGTACTACTGGGGTTTGAACTCAGGGTTTCATTTTTTTTTTATTGTTTTATTATTCATATGTGCATACAAGGCTTGGGTCATTTCTCCCCCCTGCCCCTACCCCCTCCCTTACCACCCACTCCACCCCCTCCCTCTCCCCCCACCCCCTCAATACTCAGCAGAAACTATTTTGCCCTTATCTCTAATTTTGTTGAAGAGAGAGTATAAGCAATAATAGGAAGGAACAAGTGTTTTTGCTGGTTGAGATACGGACAGCCAAACAGGGGAACTCAGGGTTTCATGTTTGCTCTGTTGGTGCTTTACCTTGAGCTGCACCTCTAGCCCTTTACTTCATTTTAAAATGCTCATTGCTTCTCTGGAATATACCGTCTTTGTATTTGAACCACTAACTGCAATTTAGGCTATTCTACTTTTCAGTTCAGAGCCCTTTATTTGGTAACAAGACATACTGGCAGGTTGTAAATGCTTTTCAACAGAGAAGGTGGGTGGTAAATGTGTGGCCATGAGATGTTTTTATGACTTAAGAGAGGAAAGCTCTTTTACAGAATGGAAATGTATCCTTCTCCCACATGCACATTAATTCTAACCAAAACTCAGCTTAGTCACTGAAAGAAGATTCACTATCTGAACTTTCTTCTACAGTTTTTTCACTTTCACCATCAGGCACAGGAGCATCTGGCCTCCTGAAAGAGACGGAAAAAAGGCAAAGGTTTTCTCAGTTGAAGAAAATCACTTACAAACTAAATGAGCTTCATCTTAGAATACTGCCACTAATAAGATGGCCAAGTCTGAATCCCTAAATGCAGACTCCTGCACTGCATACCCAACGCGGGATTCTCCCTGAATTCTGCATACCATGGAAATTACTGCTATTCCTGCAGAGGCCATGGCACTATTTTCTTTGCCAGCCCCTACCCAGTATGTCCTTCTTCTGCTTCCCATTACCATGGAGACCCAACTATATGCAGAGATGTGATCTGTAGAGGCTGGTATGACCAGTGCTGAATTCCTGCAGCCTTGAGAGTACATGAGGTACAAAGAGAGGAGAGTTAGAAATGGAAAGAAAACTCAAGCTGCAGGGAGAAATTTAGAGACAGAAGAGAATGTGAGAGTAGCTACCAAGAAACACAGGCAATATGGAAATTTTGTGGGGGAGGAGTGACTGGTTGAAGAAGGCTCTTGATGCTTGTGGAATGTTTTCACTTACAAGTTTTATCACTAGAGAATGAATATAAAAAGTATGAGTTAATAAAAACAAAACTGCCTCACAGATTCCTAGGTACAATAATGAGAATGGTTAAACTCCAACTTTGCATGGGTATGCTATAATAAACCAAAATGAAATTTTAATGCTATTATTGTAATAGTCACTTAGATAGGCCTCAATAGTGTTTATCCCAGTAAATCATTTAATCAGTATAGTAGCTCCATCACTCAGCCTCTATTCACTCTTACCAAGAGAGCAAATTAATCAAGGAAAGTATACTTGATAGTACTTAAAAACTATCAGATTTACTTGTGCCTCGATTCTTATTAAAAATTTAGGAGACTCAAATAAAAATTATTATCACTAAAAGAAGAAAATGTGTGTAGTCTACTCATTACTTCTAGTTATTAAATATTATGGCTTATATATTTTAAAATATTTGGCATATCACTAAACAGAAAGAAATATTGGCATTGTTCCCTAGCTATTAAATATATATGTATTTATTCTGCTGAATAATTTTAGATTATGCTCAATATAGTAAAACATTTAAAAATGGGTATAGTATTTCCAAGTTTTGACTGGTGCTGCCTAAAATACTAACATGTGACCATCATCTTCATCGCTCTTCATAGAAGCAACAACTCTAGAAGTAGCAGACATGAATACTGACCACATTTTTCTCATTAATTTCTCTTTGCTACATTATAGTTGAATTCTTACATCTCCACTTTTTTATAAAGGAAAAAATTACTAGAGGGAATTGTTCCAATACCACATCAAAATTATATTAGTATCTATGACAACTCAAACAAACAAAGCAATGTATGTACCTCCCTAAAGTAAATGCCACTTAAGAAAGGTAAAGACACCTTTGTCTACAGGGAGTGAAGTTAAATGTGACTGGACGTGTTGGCACACGTCTATAATTACAGCTCCTGAGGAGGTGAGGGAACAGGACTGAGGCCTGTGAACTACACAAGGGTGAGACCCTACCTGAAGAACAAATTAAAAGCAAAAGGACTGGGGATGTGGCTCAAGTGGTAGAGTGCTTGCCTAGTGAGTGCAAAGCCCAGAGTTCAATCTCCAGTACTGCAAGAACAAACCAAAACAACTTTGTATGTGTGTGTGTGTGTAATCTTTTACTGATATGTGACACTGTAGTTAAAAACACACACTTGGGTCAGACTGACTGTATTCAAATCCCACTTTGCTACTTGTCAAGCAACTTTGGGAAGCTATTTAACTACTCTGCCCAAATAACTGATTAGATTGCCATGATGATTAAATCAATAAATGTAACATTTATTGAGTAATACCTATAAGTATTAAGCAAATATTACCTGTTAATACATTATTCTCATCAGCAGCACTACTGTTTGCTAGCAACTGTGCTCCTGAAGGGGTAAGACGAATGACATGTCTTGCCCTGAAGCAGATGATATTTTAGAAGGGGGACAGAAATGCAAACAAGTCATTGTTACAGAGTGTGGTAGAACTATTTATGTGTAAAAATAAGAAGTAACTGACTTGGCTAGGGTTGGTTAGAGTAGACTCCAAAGAGATGGAGACAATTGTGAAGAATTCTGAGATGAGGGTAGGATTTGCCAGAAACTGAAAGGTCGGGGGTAAATGAGGATGAGGACCTTTAGGGTAAACAATAAAATGGGAATACTGTGATGTCCTGCACCTGGGAACTGAACTCACTTCTTAGCTAGAGTGTAAGGTACATTAAGGTATGAGAATAGATGAGACTATAGTGTTTAATAGGAGCAGCAGGTGAAGGATGGAAAAATTATAAGATATTTAAGTTTTCTCTGAAATAGTACAGCTAGGTTTGGATTTTTTATTTTATCATTTTTACATTTACTCACATGTGTATACATTGTTTGGACTACTTCCTCCCCTCCAGGATTGGGATTCTTAAGTTCCTTACTTATTTTTTAAATTGACTCACTAGCTTTGTTTTTTTTGGCAGTGCTACAGCTTGAACTCAGGGCCTTACATTTGCTGGGAAGGTAGTCTACCACTTAAGCTATGCCACCAAACTCACTCACCATTTTCAAGTGCACAGTTAGAGGCTTCCAGAATATTCACAAGGTAGTATCTTCACAGTTCACTCATGTTGCAGCACTTACCAGTATTTGATTGTTTTTTATAGTGATAGTATTCCATTGTACAGCTACACCACATTTTGATTATCCATTATCAGTTGAAGGACATTTGAGTTGCTTTTACTTTGTTATTACAAATAATGCTACTGTGCACATTTGTGTGCAAGTTTTATGTGAACATATATTTTCAGTTCCCTTGGATATATCGTCAGAATAGAATTTCTTCTCTGGTAACTCTCTAATCTTTTGAGGAGCTGCCCAACGCCCAACCATTTTCCACATAGGGTGCACCTTTTTTTTTTTAACTCAGGGCCTATACCTTAAGCCATTCCACCCGCCCTTTTTTTTTTTTTGGTGATAGGTTTTTTTCAAGATAGGGTCTCACAAACTATTTTCCTGGGCTGGCTTCAAACTGTGATCCTCTTGATCTCTGCCTCCTGAGTATCTAGGATTACAGGCATGAGCCACTGATCCCTGGCATGGGTGCACCATTTTATAGTCATACTAGCAATACATAGGGTTCTGATTTCTCCACATCTTCACTAACACTGATATTGTCTGCCCTCATTTTTATTTTTGAGACAGAGTCTTTCTGTGTAATCCAGGCTGGGTTTGAACTCAACATTCTCCTGCCTCAGCCTCACAAATGTTAGGATCACAGGTTTGAACTATCATGTCCATCCTCATTTTCCTGTGGTAAAATACATATGACATAAAATGTACCATCTTTATCACTTTTTAAGCATACAATTTAGTAGTTTTAAGTAGACATAGTATAGACATGATCATTATTCATCTCCATAACTCTCATCTTGCAAAAGTGAATCCATTAACAATATTCCCTCCTCCTCCCAGCTTCTGGCAGCCACTATTCTTTCTGTCTTTATGAATTTGAGTACTATAGATACCTCAGAAAAGTGAAATCATACAAAATTTATTCTTTTTGTGACTGGGTTATTTTGTTTAGCATTATGTTCTAAAGGTTCTTCCATGTTGTAACATGTGCCAGAGTTTTTCTTTTTTAGGGCTAGCTAACGCTGCATTGTATGTATAGGCCAGTCTGTTCATACACTCATCTGTTGTGCTTTTCTTCCACTGTTTGGCAATCATGAATAATGCTACTATCATGGGTGTACAAATATCTCTTTGAAATCTTGTTTTTGATCTTTTTGGGTATGTGCCCAGAAGTGAAATGGCTAGATGATATAGTAATTCTATTTTTAAGTTTTTGAGGAGCCATCATACTATTTTACATAGCACCTGAATGTTTTATATTTCTGTCAACAGTAAATAAGGGTTTCAGTTTCTTCATATTCTCACCAGTGCTTGTGGTCTGCCTTCATTCATTTAAAAATATATTTAATGAGGCCAGGCATGGAGCATGTCTACAATCTCAGCTGCCTGGGAGGCAGAGATATGACTGTGCTTCAAGTGCATCCTGAGCAAAAAGTTAAGAGACTCTATCTCAAAGAACAATTACTATGGTCCAAGGCTGGCTCAGGCAAAAGTGAAACCGTATCTGAAAAATAACTAAAGTAAAAAGGGCTGGGGATGTGGCCCAAGTGATGTAGTACTTATACAAGGCCAAGTTTAAAACCTAGTACTATAAGTAATAATGATGATGATAATGATGATGATGATGCTACTCTGAATTATAATCTTAGGAGAAAAATTATATATTAGTTCTCCGAGGGTATAAAAAAAGAGAAGAACTTCAAGAAGCCACAAGAATCAAATGAGATACTATACAGGGAAGCATTTTACAAGTTGTAAATGTTTATTTCAATGTTAATAGCAATAATAAAACTCACAGCAACAATGTCATTTCCAGCCCGGTTATTCCTGTTTTCAGGAGGAAATGTGGATTCTTAATTATGACCATATGTGAGCCTTTCATTCTAATTTGTTATTAATGGAGAGAAGAATTAAGACATGTTTAAAAAGACTGCTACTTTAAACTACTAAACTAAAACTTAGCTTCTTCAAATCCAAAGGAAACACATTTCATTACAGAATCTAGAAATGAGAACTTTATAAAAGTCTCTAGCTATTTAAAATATATTTGGAGTACTAAAACAAAAGTGCATCAGGAAAATACAGAAAACTATATAATGTCATAAACATGTTCATGATATATCGTGTAATTTTTTTTTAAAAATCTCAATTTTTGTTGACTACAATAAAAAACACTGGCTTAGAGCTACATTTTAAGAAGCATGTTTACATGAAATTTGTGGCATTAAGATTATCAACAAAATTCTTAAGTTTTTTTTTTAAAGTTTAAACTCATTACTAAGTCTAAGTTATGATAAAAATAGATTTTTTTTCTTTTCAAAGAAGTTAGTAGGTTGACCTTAACAAA